TCTGTACTCCAGCACTTTGGAGTAATGATACAGTGCGTACTGTCAGCTTTAATTTGAGGGTATTTTCATCCATATTGGGTGAACCGTTTAGAAATTACAGCACTTTATGTACGTAGTCCCCCCATTTTAGGGCACCAAAAGTATTGGGACAAATACACTTATGTGTATTAAAGTAGTCAAAAGTTTAGTATTTGGTCCCAAATTCCTAGCACGCAATGTTTACATCAAGCTTGTTGTTTTTCAGATTATTTTGTGCCCAATAGAAATTAATGGTAAATTGTGTCATTTTGGAGTCACTTTTATTGTAAATAAGAATATAATATGTTTCTAAACACTTCTACATTCATGTGGATGCTACCATGATTACGGATAATCCTGAATGAATTGTGAATAATGATGAGTGAGAAAGTTACAGATGCACAAATATCATACCCCCAAGACATGCTAACCTCTCACCATTACAGTAACGTGTGAGGTTGCCATTTTTGGGGGGGTATGATATTTATGCCTCTGTACATTTCTCACTCATCATTATTCATGATTCATTCAGGATTATCCGTAATCATGGTAGCATTGCATCATTAAAAATCTAAAGTGCTGGAGTACAGAGCCAAAATAACAAAAAACGTTCACTGTCCCAATACTTTTGGAGCTCATTGTATGTGTGTTCACCTTTACAGTTCATACACAGCTTAGTTGCAAATGTTCAATAGTATCCAGTGTGATATTGTCATGCAATATTACTAGTAGTCTGTCTTTTTTTCTTTTTAAATCAAATATTCATGACAAACGCTTACTTATTATCTTTAACTCAATGTATTATAGGTCTATGGGTATAGTGGGAATTTCTTGTTCACTGCAACAGTACAGCCTATGTTCGTAGCCTACATTTAAGCTTAATTTGGTTCAATCCATTTTGCATGTAGCCTATTATTTTCGTTTTCTGACAAATATGGGAAACTTAAGTAGATTTTTTTAATGGTTGTGGATATTAATTTATAATAAGACTTTATAACCATTCACTTTTAAAGAAATACATCACAAACGAGTTATTAATTTGAAATGCCATTGGATATGCAGTTGCTAAATGGGAGAAATAGCCTAAAGTATTTTATTAGAACTGTTCATAAGAAAAGCAAAATATGCAATTCTGTATCATTTTGCATTTATCTATTTTTCCATCCTTTGAGGCTTCCTCTGGATTAAATAACGTTGCCTATTGATTTTAAAAGTCTGCAGTAGTAATCTAACCTACAGATATAATACCGATTGAAAAGGCACTGTGAAAGAAATCTAGGAAAAAAGACTATCGCCCACTCTACAACGCAAATTGCGCTTTGATTGACTCTTCATTTCATCTGAAGGTTGTTTTGTTTAGTTTTTATTCTGAGTCAATGGGTTTAATCAGAGTCACTGATCCTCTGAGTCTAAGCCTCCCCGTGTTGTGTTTTTGTTTGTCGGGAGCTCAACGAGACTCTATCCGCACTTCATTAACCCTGAGCCGGGGACAATCCGCGGTAAGAGCCCAGGGATTTGCACGTATCCTTTCACATGCAAAAATCTCCGCGTCATCCAGCAAAACAGGGAGCTTTCCCTGTAATCAGCTACGCACTTCGCAAGAATAACCCTTTTCATAAATGTTGAGGGGGGTCATCGTTATTTGAATCGGTCACGGATCCTTATGATGTTCTTCTAATTAGATTTTGTGGTGGGAAGGTGGGAATTTGCTGCAGGTTTTCCTCTCCCTGTTTTTCAAGTCCCAAACAACCACCTTCAGTGCGGTGTAGCCTCTATAGGCTACTATTTCTCAGTTAGCCTATAGCAAATGTACGCACTAAATAAATGTGTCAATTAGTCAAAGTCACACTAATATTTTATGGAGAGATAGGCTGGCGGTCAATGGGAGAAGGGAGAACATGTGCCATGCGAGCGGTGCAGCGGGGGGCCTGACTATCACACCCATTATCGACTTTCAATTAAAAGCTAATAAAGTATTTTGTCTAATCGTTAATATCCCATTGGCCAACTCTGTCAGACTATACTCCCTAACCCTGTGCTTTATAGTATTTTGGTTGGTTTAAAGTCAGACTCCTATTAGGAGTGAGGTTTGGGTGGCGGGTGGGTCTGGTGGAGCAGGGACCCTGCGGAGCCGCTGACCAGATGTCCCATCGCTGATCCGGCCTACAGTCAGCGTCGCCCGGTCACCAGCTGTTGGAGCCGTTTGGCAAAGAGCACATCACCAACACTCTCAAGAAAGAGGCATGGAAACAATCAATTTCCAAATGGGATCATTTAAGGCACTTAAACAATTGCACACTTAGCCTTTCATTAATATTTCGTCTTGGTATTGTTTATTATTAATTTAGTTTGCCAGGTGAAGCGCATGAGATCATGCAGGTGTAGGGTATAGGTCTAGTGTATTAGCCTATTTGCAACATGTGCTATAACCTGAATAAATTGACTGCTTTTGCCAATTATTGACGCTCGATGCAATTGCTCGAATCCGTAGCAGCCTATTTCCATGATTTCTTATACCTATGTTAGATTTAACCGACTCCACTTTTGAGACATGGCGTGTGTGTGTAATTGTCTTTGTGTGTGTTTTTAATATATACATATTCCCATTAATGTAGTTTTTGACAGAACTATGAGTCTAAGCCTAGGTGGATGAACGTTGAAATCCATCTGTATTTATTCATACCAAATATATAGCCTACCAAAACACATTTATAGTCATAACTTATAAGATAGGCCAACGTTTTAGATATAAATGCAGAATTAAATGTCTCAAATTGAACTCTCACCACTCCAAAGCTTTGGAGAAATATCTAGGCATTTTTTAAAGGTTAAGGCGGTGAATGTTCCTTGCTCTGACGGTGACATTCTTTATTAACTTTTTTAGGTTTGACAAATTAAATCCACGATACTAAACAAATAGCGAGGGGGTTTGAGGGAAGTGTTTGACAGACATGTTCAAAATTATTCAAACATGGTGTTTCTAATAGAATTATACGGACCTTAATTTGATTTTATCAGGCATATTTATCACAAGTTAGTTACACCTTGACTCTCCTTTGTCTCAACAGAACACCTTTTGTTGTTTTATGATGAAATATGCCAAATTATGATTTTTGTTTGTAATTACATTCTGGCATTATATACATCAGAAATGTTGCTCTATGTGTGATATGAAATGATGTCAGCGTGTCATTCTGCTATACAGTTTGGCTAAAAATGAGGTTGTCATTAATGGTCAATGTCATGAATTAATCAGTTGATCCGTTTCTGTCCCTTTCTTCTTCCGGGAAAAAAAACTGCCCCTTACCAGACCTTGAATAACCCCAAAACAACAACTAATCGGTTATTAGATTGCCTATAAAATATAGCCTTGATCAAATAATATAGAGGGCTAAAAGTATATGCCTACAGCCAAAGTCTTATGCCTATATCAAAAGTTGACTAAATACTGTCTGCCATTTCCTTGCATTCCTCGCAGCAGCTTTATGAAACTTTTTTTTCTTTCTAGTGTAGGCCCTACTTTGTGTATCAAACGAGTGCACTGCTCTTTGGTTGAACTCGAGGATGATGTTGATGATGATAATGATGATGATGACGATGACGATTAGCCTACATTTATTCAATTTGCCATAAAAATCGATGTGGGCCCTGTATTTGTCATGCGTGGGGTTTGAAAGATATGGCGTAGTCACGTTATTAAATGAAATACCTTTATTTACACATATATAAAGTAAATCCCCCTCTAGCGCCGAATTAAGATGTTTGAACAGTTTGACAAAAAGTTCGTTTAGCTAACACATGGGGAGAGGAACGAAAAACGATCCAGAAATAAGAGAACCAATCCACAAATGAATATCTGCAACATACATTTTCACCAAAGAGAGTTAGTAGCCTAACAAGGTTTCCACCGGTTTCGTATGAAATAACATAAGTAAGTAATGCACAACGTCTGTTTAATACACCTAGCAAATCAACAGGCAAAAGACCCAAATTGGCAACCGACTCAGTCTTCAGTCATGATATGTTTATCAAAAGTGAAGGGATTGCAAGGATACATTGCTCCTTCGTAAATTGATGTAGGCCTACCTCTTACGTTGACTCCATATTTGATATCATTCGGCATTTAGGTAAAACTTAAAGTAAAAACATTATGATTAGACATTTTGAAATACATGTTGTTTATCTCATGGACCTTCATTATTCCCATCCAGATTATCTCTGAAATGATAGGAAGTTAGCCTTGAGCTCTGGCTAATCTATAGTTTTTGTACTGAATCTTTGTCATCTGAAGAAAATAAAAAATTAATGAAAGAAAAATATCTTCAAATCAAGATAAAATGTTTTATAGAATTCAAAATATTCGTATTTACATGTCTATGTCTGGTGATTATTATTTTGTTCGTTTGTAAAAAGTGAATGAAACTCAACTCGTCTTTGTAAAGAGAAAGAGAAAGAAATAATAATTGTTATGAAATGCCTTTGGCTCGCATTTAATTATTCAACTCAACTTGGAATGCTGTTTCAGTTTACAGACCAATAAATTGGTTTGTTATGCATGTTTTTTTTTTTAAATCATTGTATCCTGACAACATAGCCTAATAATAATAATAATAATAATAATAGTAATTTCATGATTTCTTAAAAGTCTGAGTAAAAGTGCCATTGCCATAAGCCTTGGTTCTAGCAACGATTATCTCTGTAAAACGATCGTGCCCTTTCTGATGTAGCCCACACTAAAGATTTTTATGGTAAACAAAAATATAAATATATAAGTTAAATACATAGAGAAAAATAAATAGGCCTAAGTTATAAATAAAGAACTTCAGTATGGTAAAAACCTGGCCACTTTAGAGAGTTCGAGATTTAGTCATGAAGTGCATTGTTTGATGCCATCTTCTTTTGTCACCAGTTTGAATCGTTTTTTTTCTCTCTCATTTAGAGTCCCAGTCTGCCAGGTATGGCATATATCCCGAGATGCCCGCTCACCGCTGCTGTGTTGGCCGGGGAAGCACACCGGAGTGAGGGGGGAGTGGGAGTGGTTCACTACCCCCCTGCAGACCATGGAGAAGAATCCGCGGAACGAGAGGTCGTTGCAGAGCCGGAGGGGGCGCCGAGGGTCCTCTGTACAGGTAGAGCGCCGCTCCGGGGTCCAGGTTGGACATCAGGCTTTGAGGGTAGAAATAGGGCGACGGAAACATTCTCTGAAGAGCAGAGTAATTTCCAGCCTCCGCTAACAGTTCCAGTCCAACTGCCGTCTGCCTCTTCCACTTTGTTCTATTCAGACAAGAAACAGTGGATATTAGTAAGGGAAACTCTCATTGTAAAGTTATAAACAAGTTTGAAAAGTACAGTTAAAATATTTTATTATAAGACTCGGATTATAAAGTTTATAATTCAATCACATCTGCATGCGTAAAAAAATGCAATTTGTGAAAACCCGTTGAAAATGCATGCACAAATAAGATACATGGTTCAATTTAAACGAAATTAGATTTTTGTTAATGAATTTAGGACTTCCTAACAAAACATGTAGCATATTTTCTTAGCACAAGAGCAATGTTATTTTCCATTGTGGGGTTTTAAATGCAAATATAATTTCAGTCATTAAAGTTCAGTCAGTTGGAAACATCTGTATTCAATGCGTGCTTTTCGGTTTGGGATTGTATTGATTTCATCATGGGGTCAGAAATGTGTCGAAGTCTTCCACTATTTTTCTAATAAAGATTGAAAGTGTAGCTATACTCAGTTACGCATTTCGGTTATTCTGTTCAATCAGTCCTCCGTCACTCGTATTCACATGGAGGGGTAATCTGTCAGATTCAGATTGTCAATTGAAAAGCACTCCTCTATCAGGTAAATTATTCATAATTATAATAATTGAGTAAATGTAGTAGCGTGGGTGAATTATTGATATGGCATACATGCAACAATATATTATTAATGCACCAAAGTGTTGTGTTTTTATATTTATTAATGTCGTTTTGCTGTCTGAATGTCAAAGCTTCATTAGAAAACCATTTGGATTTTTCCCCCTCCAAAAATGATTAAGAACAACAAATATTTATACCGTCTACCGTTCAGTATTTGAATCACAAGATGTTTTTTGTTTTAATTTCTCTGTTATATTTTTCTCCTTTATCGTGAAGGAATTGATGCAGTGTGCACAAGTTTTGAGAAATAAAATCGACCAATGTGACCTGGCTGCAAATGTGACCAATGAGTTGACTGAGATGAGAAAATCATTCTGTCTGGAGGTGAGGAGCTGACAGGTGCTCGCGCGCACACATATTCTATGTTGGCCTAAACTCACTGCATTCATCCGTTCAGCCTATATCCCACTATCAAAGTACTTATCGTCCTTTTAAATTGGTTATAATTTGTGTAATTAAACTAAAGGCAACCTAGTGTGGTAGTGCTTACCTCCTGTTCTGGTACCAGGTTTTGACCTGTGTGTCTGTGAGGTTGAGGGAAGCGGCCAGCTCCATCCGATCTTGTACGCTCAGGTACTTCTGCCGTTCGAAGCTGCGCTCGAGCTGGGCCAGCTGGTGGTCGGTGAAGGCTGTTCGCGCCTTCCTAGGTTTCTTCAGCCGAATGTGATGCGGACTGTCCCTACTACTCGAGATCTCTCGGCTTCCTTCCTCTTTCACTGCTCACAAGAATAGAATAACCTTTATTTTAACAGGGAGTCGTGCTGAGACCAAGGTCTCTTTCGTCTGTAAGCTATACACAAACATGAAACACTCAACAACAACAAGAACAAATATATATTTAAAATGTTCATAAAGCTTATCAAAGTGATGTGTAAGATCATTAAACCAACCTGCTCTCAGCATTTCGTATTATTTTGTACATTAATCCAAAACACTCCATTTAGGATGATATGTTACTTTTGGTATGGTTACATAAAACAGAGGGTTTTAAGGCAATAATGAAATTAGGGTGGATGGTCGGGGTGGATGGGTCTGCATATAGGTTGTGATTTCGAATCTCATCATGGACAACTTTAGCATTTTAGCTAATTAGCAACTTTTCAACTAATGACTACTTTTTAGCTACTTTGCAACTACTTAGTATGTTAGCTAACCCTTCCCCTTCCCCTAACCCTAATCCCTAGCCTAGCTAACGTTAGCAAGCTAGCTATAGCTAAAGTTAGTGAGCTAGCTAGAATTCGTAACATATAGTATGTTTTTCAAATTCATAACATATTATAGGTTTTTCAAATTCGGAACATATTGTACATTTTGCAAATTCGGGAACATATAATACGAATTGTAATTCGTAACATATCATACGAAATGGGTGATGGACATCCACAAATGAATACAAACCGTACGAAATTTAACATACCATACTATATGGAGTTTCTCGGATTTATGTACAGAATAATGTGAAATGCTCTGAGACCAGGTTGATTAAACAGGCCCATAGGCCTAGGTTAGGCCTATATGCACATGTATGGACAGGAATGGGATTTAGTCTAAATGTAGGCCTAGCTACATTTACAAATGGACATATTTAAAAGTTTAACGTTTTTTAAACAAATTCATATAGCCTAGCTTTGGTAATCCAGTGTTGGAGGACTTTAGGCCACTCTCCATTGCGCCTAGAGTTTTTATGAAGACGTAGCCTATCAAAAAAATTAATGGCCCTTATTTTTAGCACATTTTAAGACATTGTTTCGGCAATGTAATGTGTGTAACATTCCCATTTGTTATATTCTTTACTTTGCTGTTGTGTTGGGTCTTGAACTGTAATAATATACAATTCTCAGTTAATCCTCCCCCGTCCCACGCTTCTCTCCAAAAAGAAGCTACACGAGGTGAGAGCTCTTGCTAGCTGAATAGTTGAGTCGTCTCTCAAGAAGCACAATAATCCGGCTAATTGAGCCACAAGGGAAGGGAGCCATAAACCGCGACCGGAGAAACTTCACAGGGCTGCGGATAAGAGCGAAATAAAGAGCCGGCCGGTCTTGCGGGTTACAAATCTGATTAGCACTGGGACAAATTGCATCAAATCCCCAAAATATTAGGAGGCGGATTCGTTGAAATTAAAGCAGCATACTAGTCCCTACAAGGTTTTTGGAGCTGAATTGACTGCGTTGATATCAATGAGAATCTATCACACACATGCACACACACACACACACACACACACACACACACACACACACACACACGCACACACACACACACACACACACACACACTGTATCCAAAATAGAATGATGTGTTATTCATGTTCATGTTTCTTTTTTTAAAACTGAGGTGAAGTCATTGACCTGCAGGAAAGACGTTAAACCCTTGCTATGAAGGATTGATGTAATAACATTGTTCACTATAGTATAAATAACATGTGGGCCTAAATAATATGCCTACTATTAATCAATAGTCTAAGGAATAATAACAATAATAATAATATGAATACTAATAAAATAACCTTATTATAAACTTTTGTGTCACGGTAACCTGCCATTTTCTTTTTAACAATAAGGGGGTGGATATATTTTGTGTTTTGGTTGTATAAGTTAATCAGATAAATATTTAGTATTATATGTTAGTATTATATTTCTAACCACATTTCTATTGACTAATTCCTGCAAGCAGGAATTGTCCTCGCCTATCAACGGATGACTTATTTTTGTCCATGCGCTGCATCATTAAACTGACAATCGAGGTGGCTGACATGATTGGAAACCGACAGATCCTTGATGGCATTTATCTGGAGGCGACCCTGTCATCTTTTCCCGAGCTTTTCTCTTGCCTCCCTGACATCAACAGATGCTTTCAAGACGTCTGCTAATGCAAGCAAATGCGTTTGAAAGGAAAAACGGTTTGACACCAAATCATTGGAGAATATCAACAGTGTGGATTCAATACTTAAAGAAAAGGTTAGTGTCATCCTTTTCAGTTAACGTAACTATAGCCAATCTGATATTGTCCAAGATAATATTGTTGGTAAACTCTCACCATTTGCCAGCATTTTATTTTATTTTATTTTTTATTTTTGTTTTTTTTTGGGGGGGGCACACAAGCGATTAATCTCTATAGGGTTTACAGTCATAATGTAATAGTGTACATATAATAATAATAATAATAATATCATGTTCCATATCATTTTATATTTGATTTGATACATTTTAGATGGGATTCAGTTTCTGCAAGCATAGTACAATACTATCTCCCTAGCCTTCCGAGGCAAGTCAAAATGTAAAACCATGACACCTTGAGAAACACTTTGAAACATGGACAGGTATTTTACACACGTTTGATTACAAAAATGTTGAGTTAAAATGAATGATATAGCAAATCAACTGCTACTGCAGGCTATCCCAATATCTGCATAAAGCTAACACACAAATGCAGACGAGTTTAGAATAGCAGGCCTACAAAAATTCCATTTGAAATTATGTGATAAATAGGCGTAATTGATTTAAAAACATTATGCTTGTCAGTCTTTTACCTTTGTATTCGCTGTCTGACGACGAGTTGCTATGGATTTTGTCCATGAAGTCGTCTGCGAGTTTGGAGGCAAGTCGCCCCGTTTCTTGAGTTGGCTGGCCATTACTGGAGTATGGGGCGCAGGCGGCTAGCGGTTTGCAGTCAGCTAGAATATCTCTGATCAGAAAGGAGGAGGTGACCGTCCGCGGCTGTGACCCGGCGGAGATCTGTCCTTGTTGGAGATGGGGCGGCAGCCCTATAGCGTGATCTTGCCTCTGCGATGCCTCATCCACACACTCCCTCCTCGGCGACGGGGGAGAGGAGCAGCCGCTCTCTAGGTCAGACCTCGGGCTGAACTCCAGCGGTGACCGGCACTCTCCCACCAAACTGTCCCCTTTCGACATGACCGGACTTCCAGGTCTGTGGGAAAGTAAAGAGTCGATCCCAAAGCTGGACCCATTGGTGGATGCCTCCATTGTTTACCAGCGCAACTGAGTTCTTCGAGGCCTCAACTCAAACTATCATTGGTATTCGAGGCAAGTTCAGGTTGAGCGGCGATAGCTGAGATAAGACTTTGCCTCAATTTATCCAGCTGGAAAATCCAAAGATGTTTCGGAAATCACAAATATTCATCCACGATGTTTTTTCTTCTCCTTGATTGAATCTTATAGCTGTCAAAATTGCAAAATCTCCAGTTTATCGATGTTACATCAACCCTGCATCCAACTATTTTGTCCTAAGTACAGCACTCTTCATAAAATCGATGCAGCTTGGTGCTATTCTCTGTTGGGAAGTTTGATTGATTTTTCTGTATCTAATTTTTTCCTATTTTAGAAATGAAAACTCGCCGGTACGATTTCTCAATTATTTATCAACTTATTTCCAATATTGACAAAAAACTGCAATGATTAGAGACAGTGGAGCAGCATTAGCGCAAGGTAAATAGGCAGGCGATTCAGCACCACGTTACAGCACCACAGAAAGAGACAGCAGCGAGTGTTGCAGGTAGAATTCAAGACCTGAAAATGAAGCAGAGCGAGGACACGATTGCTGAAATGTTCATCACTTAAAAAGTGGTTCGCTTGTGTGACCCGTGCGGCGCTCGATGGCAGAGGAAGGTAAAGGCATCCTGAGCCAGCATAGAGATGCAACAAGAGACTCGAAACGGGTGGGCAGCTGCAGTCGAGAAGACGCGCACTGTAAAACAGAGGTAACGCGGGTTAAATAGACACAACTGGGAACGAAAGCACAGAGATGTGAGGAAAATCTTTAAAAAAAATGGAACTTGAGGAAAACTCAGGATCTAGGTTTTTAAGGGCACCCCGTCCACGTGAGTCCCCAGTGACAAGCCTTCATTGGCTGAGGGGGCTTTTTGGGTGTTGACGGGCTTGCGGAGAGGAAAGTGGACCCCCACACAGGCTCACTCACCCCTCCTCCTCCTCGCTCCCTTTCTTTGATTAAAAGAGACACTGAATTCACCAGGATACTCAGATCCAACTGTTTACAGGCAATTTTCACACTATTTGCTTTCATTACATCATTGATGAGGCTTATAATGAATTGGGTTATTATGTGGAGCTGATAGGTATTTTCTCTCGCCTCTCTTTACGCGCGTGTTCAGTCAAAACATGACAGGCTTTTCTTTTCTTTTTTTACATTATGGGCATTTTTCCACCTTTGCATTTATTGAGGGTCAGAATTTAGGTAAATTGTTTTTCCATCTATGTTCAAGTTGTTTTATGAATATCAAAATACTTTTATTGAGGGTGTATTTGAGAACTTTTTTTCTGATTCAAAATTAATTTGGAAAGGATTTGTATATTATTATTATTATTATTATTATTATTATTATTATTATTATTATCACCATCATCAATATCAGTATCAGCATCATCATTTTGTTGTTGTTTTGTTACTGGTATGACAAATCCATATAATTATAATATTACTTCATATAGCCTAGATTTAATGTAGCCTGTATTCATTTCTAATGCATTGAGGACACAGCCAGTGCTTTTTTCTTGAATTTCGACCGTGAGCTTAATGTTAAAAAAATAATTCTGACACAAATAATGTTTTTATATTCTCGGATAACAAATGTTTTGTTGTTGCATAGGCCTATGCACCGAGAGCAAGAATTTCATACATGCATAATTGGGACATAAAATACTATTCCACACACTCTATTTCTTGTGGTGAACAAAGCTCCAGCATCGAATGGTCAACGTTTAGCTCATAATAAGTAGCCTATCTAATAGTAATACAATGCTAATGAGGAATAATAGTCCGAACAGCATGCGCTGAAAGGATGGCGTGACGCAAACTTTAATGTGCATGAAATGCCATTGTCTCCACTTTCGGTTCTTTTTTCAAAACAGTTAGCCCCACATGACTCCCCGACAGGCCCTAATAATCGAACCCCCCATGTGACCGCCAGATTGGAGGCGAGCGTCGGTCTCGACACCGGCATGTTAGTGAATCCGCTCCCCGCTTCCATAGTGTCCTATCGCGGCTGCAAGCTGTCACATTGAGGCGGGGTCAGAGATGGAAAAGAGTAGCCTGCACACCCATCCTAACGTTGCCTTTCTTTCCAATTTAGCCTACTTGGGCTCCGGTGGTGGGTTATGGAGATTTCATTCGAACAACTCCTGTTCCTTGCCATTAAAAAAATAAATAAAGTTAATAGCTTATTTTTATAGGTCTATCTATTTCACAACTCAAATCTGGCCTGTGTTTACAATTCTCAGATTAACAATTACATGGCTAAAATATAAAATACATAAAATAGTAACAACAGTATGCAAAATAATTCAAGTGGAAACACATTGCTTCTCCAAGTGAGATTGGGTCTGTCTTTTGTAAAATATTTGTGGTGATTACCTTTGTAAATTGATATTTTTGAGCTACCCTTGCAAGAGTCATCTAAAGTAATTTTCCACTTTATCAAACAATTCCTCAAGGTAATGAGCCCAGACTGTAGACTTGCTTATGGTGTCTTGATCTCTTTGTCAATATGTTCCACTGCTGCCACTTGTCTCTTGCAGGTGTATGGATGGTCAGCTGTACACAACCTGTGTGTTTGTGTGTGTGTGTGTGTGTGTGTGTGTGAAGGAGAAAGATGTAATGCAATGTAATGACTTGGCTGGTCAGAGGAAGCGTACTATCACTTTCTATCACTTCCACATTTCTGTCTTAAATGGTAATACCACTAAAAAACTATATTTTGGTATTTGTTTCATTAGTCCGCTTTTGATACAGTCCCAAAATGCATATCAGCAATCAAGTTTTCAAGATATAGAACTTTCAACATACAGAAACTGTCACAATACGATGCGTTTTGCAAATAGGACATAGTGGATGAAACCATTTTATTTTATTTTATGTCTTGCAAACACTTTTTGGGTGTTAGTCAGTTATTTAATGTCCAAGGTTGGTGTCACAGGTGTAAGTATTGGTCAATGTAGTCTGTCAATTTTCTAAACAGATTAGGTTTATGTTAACTAATAATTGTGTATCTGAATAATATGTGCATGGTTTCCTCACACTGTAGAAAGTGCAGCTGAAATTAAGAATATTTATACCTAGACTAGCAACGTGGTCTCACGGCAATTCGTATTATTCTGTATGTAAATCTGTGACACTCCATTTAGTATGATATATTATGTTACATTGGGTTACATTATGAATGGAATAGCGGTTGTACAACATCATACAAATTATAGGATATATAGTATCATACCTCTTACCCGGTCGTTCAATAGCATACAAATTGGATTACCTAACTTATTATACGTCTTTCTCTGAGACCAGGTTGCTTGTTGCGCATAACAACAAAGGATAATTACTGGGAGAATTTAACTTGGCGGTTAAGGGAACTAATGACAAAGGTTAGGATAATTAAGGAACGTAAAAGGTTGGGAGAACTAAAAGGACAAAGGTTGGGTGAATTTACGTAGCAGGGTAGGTGAATTGGGTTAAATTGAGAATAACAGTTACGGGAAGAGTGAGCTAATATGTGACTCAAACACTCAACCTTTGGATTGCTAGACGGTCAAGGATTACAACCACTCATCCACCCTGACCAACCTCCCTACTTTCGTTTCTGTCTAAAGTAACAAGTAGGTATCATAGGTCTTGGAGGTGCTCAGAAATACATGTTTCTTATGGCTCTGAGGCCAGGTTGAGACTAGCTATCACTTATGTTAATATTTTCTTTCTGGACACTTACTAATTTCTGCTGCTAGAAATCCCTCTCCATTGTGAGTAGTAACACCTACAGGGGCTCCCTATCACTCTGGGCAATGTGTGATAAAACAATGTGGTGATTTTTATTTATTCATTCGATTGCATGTGTGTTAAATATATATCTAGATTTGTTTTGTAAAATACGTGTCGCCTTTGGATAAACTTTTGGCATCTCTATCGTTTTGAGACATTGAGTAAAACATGGCTTTCGATAGGAGATATGTAAAAAAAATAATACAAAAAAATAAAGACTTCACACAAAAAACAAACAGCATTTTAAAAAACGGCAGGATTGGCACATCCAGACCAGTCAGGGATGCAAATGATGCACCTTAAAAAGCCATCAGGTATGGGACTTGACAGAAAATAATGAGAATCGCTGAATCTTTTATAAGGTTAACACTCACATTTCCCAGTCAGCTGTCACACAAGAAACAATTTAGCACATGTATGCGGGCGAAATAAACCTTCATCATCCCATTAAAGCTGACAGGGCCCAGGACCGGCAGCTCTCAGCACCAGGCAGCCACCTCGTTTTGTGTCGGTAATTTGCAGCAGAGACAGACCTCTCTCCACCAGAAAGATAGATCAGAGAGAGGGGAGGTAGAAATTACGAGGAGAGCAATAGTGAGGGAGAGGTTGGAAAGATGGCTAGCTCACCAGGAGTCTGATTCTCGTCTAATTGGAAGCATTGGGCATTGTCAACTGAGGATTTTCAGCCGCTCATGACAGGTAGAGCCGTCAGAATGATAACCCACGTGTCAGTGCAAAATACCAATAATAACAAACCACTTTTGATTTAATTGGAAATGCCTAGTCTGTGTGTGTGTGTGTGTGTGTGTGTGTGTGTGTGTGTGTGTGTGTGTGTGTGTGTGTCAGAGAGAGTGAGTGGAGGGGATCGCTGGAGGGCAGGGGTAAGGGGTGCATGTGTGTGTGCGTGTGTGTATGGTTTGGTGTCTGTAAAATAAATCATCACTCTAGCCTTCAGTAGCACTCCCTTCATCCCCTCGCTGCCCGTCTCTCATCTTTGGCCAGGCATGAGCGAGGGAAGAGCCAGGGAAGAGCGAGGGGAGCGCCAGGAGCAGTAGTGGTGCGTGGGTAAAATCACCGGGGAAGCCAAGCCAGTGAAAAAAAATGTGTTGTGATAATTGCGTTGTTTGCTCTATAACCTGTTAGTTCATATGCCTTGCCACCGTGATACAGTGGGGAAAAAAAGTATTTAGTCAGCCAC